ACTCTTTCAGAAACTAAATATCACAGACACAGGAAGAAGCAAACGTATGGTGGGATCTATGTTAAACCAATGATTACACACAGGGATGACTTGTCCGAGTGTCCCTTGGAAGAAACATGCAGTGTTATACCTATCTTAAGCCATTTTCCATGTTTATGAGCTGTGAAACTATCAAGCCATTAACATCAGTGACGTTAGGTTCTAGAAAAGACAATCGTATCATTCAATTTTTTTTTCCTTAGTATCATCTTTAAACAACACATCTTGGCTTTTTATTATCCCTTTCTTCTACCAGACTTAATCTTTCCTGTCTAAACCAGTGTCACACCAAGCGAGTGAGCCCCATCAACGTGCCATTGAGACCACCACAACTTCTGTGCTTTAGATACAGATCTAGGAAAATCTGTAGGCCATGGGAAAGGAGACAGAGGAAGAAAAGGAAAAAAACAACTCAACAACAAAAAAACCCAAGAAAGTTATCAAAAAGATATTTTTTTTACAGAAAAAATTGTAAAAAGTGATGTAACAAATTAAATCATTACTAAGACAGAAGCTTTAACCATTAAAATATAAAAACCTAACTAATGTTAAGTTCTCGTACTAACCTAGGGCAACATCCATGATGCAACGTAACCCCAGTGAATGGAAAAAATAAGTACACACAGCATTTAGAAGTAGTTTCTCCCCTTGAGGAAATGCAAGAGAAGTAATGCTGGAGGGGGCAGGAAGCCAGCCAACACTTCAAATCAAACTCAACATACCTGCGCCACAGACATCACAGTCGTGGCCGCCTATTTCCATTTCCCCTGCACGCTGTAACACCAGCACACCAAGCAGCACCTATTTAGAGGGAGACATCCTCCAATCCCAGCCCTTTTAAAGTGGCTTCCCCTATGAAAAGCATTTCACGAATGTTTTTTCTTCCATTTCTCGTCACTTTCAAAGCCATTATTTAATACACACACAGCAGCAACGGCTGCAACGCTCTCGGTACAGGAAAATAAATGACAGACGCGCACCGAGTGAAAAGATTTCGCAACGTGAAGGAGGAAGAGAGACCAGCAAATCTCTTAAGAGTCGGTCCACAGAAAGACACCGTCATTCCTCCGTGACAAGTTTGGGGAGCCCTTCCCAACGGGGGCCACAAGGAAGGAAGGCGCTTTCCTCTGTGTCAACGCGGTTTCAAGAAAACCACCAATCAAAAAGAAACAACCCAAAGCCCCCAGTACGTCTTAATTTATTTATTTTTAAATGACAATAACGATCCAAGTGAAGCCTGCAGATCTTCCCAGACCCTGCACATTCCCGCTCCCTGCGGGGGGAAGCGGTCCCCTCAGCCCGCCCGCCCGCACACCCGCTTCCTTCAGGGCCGC